CCACTTGTCTCGTCTGACCATGTAGCTCTATTTCTCCACTCACAATCTGTTTGCACATGCACAGACAACGGACATTTGAACACCCACCTCCCAGAGAAACACACAAACACGTGCCTGCACTCACACACACACACACACACACACACACACACACACACACACAGACACACACAGACACACACAGACACACACACACACACACACACACACAAACCCCCACCCTGCCAAGCCTAGCAAAAATAACCTCCACAAACACAAGACTTGTGTCTGTTTGTCTGGGAAGAGGGATATTATTGTCTGTCTCTCCCCTGCTCCTTCCAAGTGCACTTTTCAAGGTGCAGGGCTTGGTATCTCCATGGCAACAGCAAAACGACCAGGAGCAGTGGGAGGGAGGAGGTGGTGGGCGGTGGGGATGGAGGCAGGGGAGAGGGGCGACGGGGGTGGTAATGGGGATGATGTGTGGAGGGGGGTTCCTGTGGTCACAGATAGGCATGCTGGGTACATAGACTTGGGAACACTGTGACATTTTCATGTGTCGTGACGACGCGGACTAAAGGCAAACAGGGTGTGGCTTTTCTTCTGGAGGTATTTGTGTTGTGTGTGTGTGTGTGTGTGTGTGTGTGTGTGTGTGTGTGTGTGTGTGTGTGTGTGTGTGTGTTCCCAAACAGCCCTGTGGAGATCTATGCACTGAGAGCCCAGGTGTGATCTCAATGCTTGGTGAAAGATGACCTCTCACTGTACACCACACACACACACACACACACACACACACACACACACACACACACACACACACACACACACACACACTGTTTCTCTCAGTGGAGGGTCAGTGTCAGTGTTTGTATTGCAGAGACCTCCAGGTATTATTGGACAGTGTTTACATCTGCATGTGTCCATGCTGGCCCAGATATGTCCACCCCTGTAAATTTTTCTCCTCTGCCCTCCCTCTCCCTCTCTCTTTTGACCTTTAGTCCTCTCTAGTTACTTTTGGCTGTCTCTCCATCTTTTGTCCACCATCTAGATCTCCTTTTTTTCAAGCCTGATTCTCTATCTGGATCTTTTTCAATCTGAATTTTTGTTGCTTTCCAGTTTGCTCCTCCTCTCCCTCTGCCTATCTACATAGGGCCTCTGCAGGTGTAGCTCCTCTGCAGCCAGGTTCAACGATAAAAAATAAACTTCCACACAAGTTTAACAGCTGAGTTAAAGGTGGGGCATGATGTTGAACCAGATTTGTAAAGGGCATTTGTCAATTTACACTATTATTTTCTCTCTGTACATGTTGTAGGTTTGAAAAAGTGGACCTCATAGGCATATGTGGTGGACAGTAAACTCCCTCAATGATTTATGTTCAGTGTCAGTGCAGGAAATAGTGTGATGTTTATTGCAGCGAAAAGTAAAGTTGTGGAGGTTAGGATAGAGGAGGAGTACAAGTTTTCCTTCAGCACTCGGTTCGTGCAGTGTCTCATACTAGTCGTGAGCACTTGAATTTTGTTATGACCTTGTTCTTTTTTCTAACCTTAATAAAGTGGTTTTATTTGCCTAACCTCAACCGTTCTTAAGTTGCCATGCACAGATTTAGAAAAATAATCAAGTATAAACCACAGGCTATGAACATTGTGCAGTGAGTAACTAACACGCTGTCTGGTATGTTGGCAAAATACCAAACTAATTTGATTTTAGTGACGCTAAATAGTTGCAAATGAATGCAATTTGCAGGTGATACGGTCGACAGAGTTCTAAAACGGCGCAAGTTATAACAAAAAGATTAAACTGATCTAAGTCGATAGAATTGAAAAAAAACAAGCTTGCATTCAGAATGGCTTCACTCCTACTACGTTGCTGGCATACAAGTCCTGAATAGTGCATAGTAAGAGACTGGATGATTCAAGAGACGGAGGTGGAAATTTATTCAGTCTGCTCTCCAGAGCTTTCTGTAAAAGTTCAGTGATGATGTGGCAATTGAGGAATCCCTGGAGTTTCACTTTATCCGGTTGTTCATGAAACCACTCCTAATGAGGGGGCATGGCCATCACAGAATAGAAGAAAATCAAGGGTCAGTGTTGACGCCACAACGTGAACCAGTGGAGTGTATATATGGACATACAGTCTGTGATATCGATCATGGGTTCCTGAAAGCACAATTTTAAGTTTTAGTTCTGATTTACTGCAATTTACTGAGAAAAGTGCTGTAAGGACAACTGGAAAATAGTTTGATGTCACCTCACATAAAACACACATTTTGATAGACGATTCTAATTTCATAACTAGCATTACAGCCCTCCAAGATCAACTTTGTGTTTAGCATTTTGTTAAATGTCAAGCGTGGATTAGGCTGCAGTAGAAATTCATTTCAAGTCAACATCAACACCAAAGGCTCAAGGGTATCTCCACTGTCTAAACTCATACATATTATCTGCTCAGTCATTAAAACCAAAGGAAAGTTCATGCAATATATATAGTAAGCAAAACATCAAATAATTGTTGAAATCACTGTAGTTTATTCCAGTCTTTCGCACTGAATTTCAAAGTCTGTAACTAACACATAAATAACCAGCTCAGTATTGACATGTCAGTCTATGAACAGGGAAGAACAATTATTCACATTTGTTCCAACAAATTCACGAAAGTTCAGAACTGAGGTCTTTTAACCAGGAAATAATGATAAAATTATAATTCCCCAACAGCTGATGGCAAGGCCACCAAGACAATTAACACTTATTTAGTCACATATTCACAATTTTCAATTCCCTGTGGCTTCACATTAATTATTAGGTAACATTTCTTACAGTCTGCCTTTGGGTTGCAAGTAAGCTACACTACGCTAAGCTAACTGAACTGTGCAGAAACATCATCAATGGGCCTCTGCTCTTAGAACATAAAGACTCTTAGTCATTGACATTAAACAGTGCTTTTCACTTTGCTGCGTTTCTCTCTTTTTATTTTAATGTAAATTGAATATTTTTTGTTTTGGACCTTTTTAATGTTTTGTTTTTTTCACTTGTATTTATAAACTAAATGATGAATTGAAAATAATCAGCATATTAATCAAAATGGAAAAATAATTGTTAGTTTCAGCCCTTTTAGGATTTTCAGCAGTGTTGACTTTAGGATGATGTGATAGGCATTAAAACGTATCCAGCATTGCAGGAGGAATGTTGATTGATCTCCCATTTGTATTTAGAGTGAATGGCAACACAAACCCTTTAAAAAATCCTTTCACTGTCAACCCAAAAGCTCTTGCAACTCAGATACAAACACCATGCTATGTGTCTCTCCGTCATTTATACACGGCAATATGGCTAAGTAGAACAGAAGGACCAGTTTTCAGTAAGTTGTATGACGTAGCAACTGTAACTAAGGGTGTGTGCATAAAAAAAACCAAAAAAAACCAAAACGCTTAGTTAACCAGGAAGTCAAACTCTTCAATTAAATGTAAATATATCTGTAAATCCCTAACAGTAAAACATTACTGCACCTGTAAACTATGCTGCACATACTATATATACTGTCATTTCCACCCACCTCATGTATATAAAGAAACCTGCACGTATGTTTTTATTTCAGCTTTGCACTCTGCAAAACTACTGTCTACAAATGTTATTGTTTTTTGTTTGTTTATATATACATACATAGTAGTTTATGTCTACTTTGTTGAACTTGTCCTGTTTATTTATGCTGTTAGTCTGTTTTTGTACATTGAGAGCAACATAAAACCAGAGTCAAATCCCTTGCATGTGTGCACATACCTAAGTGATCTTGATTCTTGATTGGTTAAGATTACTCAACTTTGAAACGAGCCCCCATGCCCCCCAGCAAATGACTAATGTATCTCTGTCAGTGAGCTTTACCACATGCTTGACCACTCGTTATGATGTCAAAGGGTCACTCATTATTATGCAGTTTGTCATTGTTCTGCAGTTTGTTAATGTCACACTGCTTTGTTATATCTTTTACAGTTTGTGTTGCCAGTGTACATGCATGCTGACACTATTTTGCTTCTCTGCGGTTTATTGCTTTGCACAGCCTTGAAAATGGGCACAAAAGTGAAAACCAACAGAAACCAAAGACTATAAATAAAATCAGAGCTTTTTTTTTTAAGTTGACATACTGCTAATTGGGACTCAACAGAGTCACCTTAATACCTGATTTTGGTATCACTTCAAAGATACTTGTCAGTTGATGTTTTAGATGTATTTCACTATGTCCCTGTTATTATTGTGTTTTATTCTTTTAAAAAGAAAAGAAAAGAAAAAGTTAAGCAAAAACAAAACTGTGTTAATATAATTGGTTTTGTTCATATCAAGTTGTATGATGGCCTTATGCTGCTCATCAGTGTTTACACCAATGTAAGATTAGTGGTCAAGAGGGGTAAATGATGTGCTAAATGAGGGCAATGCAGGTTAGGGCTAGTAAGACTTCTCTTTTTTTTTTTCCTGTGTGTAAATTGGACCCTTGGGCCCTTGCAAAAACTGAGTGCGTTTCCGGCAGTCGGCCACATGGGGCGCTGCCGCTCGAGGACGATTGACGGGGTATCCAAAGTTTATGCAAGGCTTGCAGCACACCGGGGACCGGCGGAGGGGAGAGTTGAACAGTAGTTTTCATCCCAGAAAAGAGCGTCCAAGTTGCAAAAAATCACTCAGTGGAGGTGTGATAAAGCAGCATGCCCGTTAATTCCACTGCATTTGTTGTCGATGAGAGCTGTCAGCGGGCCTGTCTGTCAGTCAGTCCGCAGCACGGCCAGCGCTCTCAGAAATATCCTCTCATCACACACACACACACACACACACACACGCGTAGGGAGCGTGTGGGCGCCCGGTGTGTGCGTGTTTGTGTGTGTGTTTGGGGTGGGGGGGTGGGGGGTTGTCAGAGCACTAAGTCAAAGTGGGGGAACACGCACAATGAGAGAGAGAGAGAAAAGAGAGAGAGAGAGAGAGAGAGAGAGGAGTTGCGAGAAAGAGAGAAACATAGAGGAGGAAAGAGAGAAGGAGAGTTGAGTGAGAGTGTGTGAGTGGGGAGAGAGAGAGAGAGAGAGAGAGAGAGAGAGAGACCTCGGCGGAGAGGAAGAGAGAGAGAGGGGAGGAGAGCTCCGTCTCTCCCGGTGCACTTGGCAGTCTAGTTGCGGGCTGCTGTGCTGTTGCTGTCGTGGCGTGGCTGGTCGCGCCAGGCGGGGAACTTCACCACACTGGAGCCCGGAGTCCCACTCTCTCACCTGCGCAGTTCGGAGCTGCCATGGGTCTCTCGCCTGGATTTACTGTCCTAATTATTCTACCGGCCTTTCTGCTGCACACCAGCGGCCTTTACATCGCCAGTAGCGTTGGTACGTACAGTACAGTTAAACGTGGTCAGTGTTTATGTTGTTTCTCCGTATCTGCTGATCTCTCATCAGCAGGGCTGCTCGGGGCTCTTCACGCGCTCTACTGAAAGTCTGGAGCTTTAACGCAGCGGCAAACCCCCCCCAAAAAAAACTGTCCGGTCTCCCCTTGTGTTTTTAATCTTTGGCATGCTTTTTGCAGTTTCTGCAAACAACATTGCAGGACGCGTTTGCAACTTCTGTGTGTCCTGCTGTGGTGTTTGCAGGGTCTTTCCGGAGGTTCCTCAGCGGTGCAAGCAGTGTTGTGATTTGCTTTCTCCCATCCGCGGGATAATGTTATCTGGGGTGTAAAGGGGCATCAGATGCACCAGTTTACTGTCGGATTTTGCAGGGAAGTAGCCTAACATTATCTGATTCGGCCGCTGTCGCATCTATCGATCTGTCACAGGACGCTGGAGTCGGATGTCAGTTTATTGATCACACTATTATCAAATCATTCCTCTAACACGGGGGCTCAAGAAATATTAACAGTGTGAGTTATATTTTTATACAGTCAGCAAACTTTATAAATTACACATGACAGATGGATAACCTAATAATAATAATAATAATGATAATAATAATAATAATAATAATAATAATAATAATTATTATTATTATTATGATAATAACAAGTGTACCTGAGGACCACGTATAAGCTGATGGAATAACTGTCTCTGACTGTGATGACATTGACACCCTAAAGTGGCCTTGGCTCAGTGTGTATGTGTGTGTCTATGTGTGTGTGGGTGTGTGTGTGGGCGCGGGGAGCATCTCTTAGGTCGCCTTCAAAACGCACCTGTGTTGTGACTGTCACTTGTGAACAAGAGAAATGTTCTTCAATGCAAAACAATGTCAGACGCGTTAACTGCCTTTTAGGCGTAAATCCGTGTGCCTTTGACTCATAGTGCAGAAATTAGCATGTAGTTCAGATACAATAATGATAATTGATCATGATGATGATAGGATCAATGATTCCAACGTGCATGATAGTCATTATATTTATAAGAATGTCAGTTTCATTTGGCAGATCAGTATTTTTGTACAGTCGGTGTCGAGGTTTTAGTGATATTTTTTCTCGGTTCTAGCAGCCTGACAGTGAGAAAGCAGCGTGAGAAAGCCGCAATTAGCATCTTGATCTTGTACTGGCTTTCCTGTTGGCGGTGGAAGGGCACAGAAGGTGTCAGGAGCGCAGCGCGCACTGCTGAGGCTGCCGTTTCCAAACGAGCACTGCCGAGCACCGGGGTCGCCTCTGGGTTCATGGGTGGGGCTGTGTGTGTGTGTGTGTGTGTGTGTGAGAAAGGTTACTGTTTTTATTTCTTTTATTTATTATTGTGCTTCTTGTGACGCAGAATCAGGAATAAACAATTCCATGCTTGACATTTTTCTAATTCCTTATTTTTCCCCCCACCTCTTTTTTCCATCCTCCCCTTCAACCCTCTACCCATGACTCCCCATTTTCTCCACTGTTTATTCCCCATGCTTCTCCCATGACGTCTCCTCCTCTCCCCCTCCTCTTCAACCTCTGATGTTCTCCTTTCCCACCCTTTTCCACATTTTCACATCTTACTCACCAAAATAACATTGTTTCCCTATCTCACCTCCCCCCCCCCCCCCCCAACTCCCTCCCTCTGAACTGTCCTGATCCCAGACTCCCTGCAGCATGTCCTGGGGGAGTATGGACTGGTGAGGCCGATCAGTGTGGACGCAGAGGGCCGCTTCCTGTCACACGCCGTCTCGGCTGGCCGCATGGCAGGTGGACAGCCCCGTAGGCGCCGGAGGAGGGAGGTAGGAGTAGGCAATGATGAGTGGGAAGAACCAAGAGGAGAACCCGTGGCCTATCGGGAAAGGCTTTTCTACAACGTCACTATCTTCGGCCGGGAGTTCCACCTGCGCCTGCACCACAATGCCAGGCTGGTGGCCCCCGGAGCCAAGATGGAGTGGCGTGATGATAGCGACAGCACCCGGCACTCTGAGCCACTGCACGATGAATGCTTGTATGTAGGTGACATCACAGACACACCAGGGGCCACTGTGGCCATCAGCAACTGTGACGGCCTGGTGAGTGGACAACCCATGTTACCTGTGCTCTGCTCTTATCCCTCTGACCGCTGTAGGGTTAACTGAGCCAGTTGTAAGGAGACCTCTGTGTTAAAATATAGATATGACGTTACAAACAAATAGCAAAAGCAGGAGATTTTTGCCCCTTGACCCTGTCGCCGTCCCTCATGAGTCGTTCTGGTTGACCCCATAGCTCAGAGGTTGTCATGGGGTCAAACTTATGATTTACACTGCTGTTCTCCCTGGTGTCCTCTACACTGGTTGTAACACCAGGCTTTCCATGAGAAATACCTGAGTCATGTTTTCATCCCTCTGTCCTCTGCCACTTTTAGTTTACTCATGTAAAAAGGGGGGGAGGGATTATTAAACGAGCTCACTGATGTTTCACAGATAACCTCGGTATTTATGACTACATCTCAGCACAATGTGTTTTGAATAACATCAAACTGTCTTGTACTGCTCACTTCACATAGATACACAAGCACTGGACAAATAGCGGACACTAAAGCAGCATTTGAATTGAAGCTGCCACCATAAAATATTTTGGTTGCACAACAGTTGTTCAAAGAGCCTGAATTGTAGATGCTTTTAATAGAGCTGACAATGAATAGAGGAAAAGGAAAAGAGATGGCAAACAGTTGGTGAATGGCTGTCGGCAAGGGAGAGAAGTGAGATATAGACAGTGTGAAGAATGTGCACAGGAGCTGCTGAGATGAGAGGATGCAGAAAGATGGAGACCGGTGCCCGAGGACGAAGTGGAGGGGATAAGTGCGAGAGATCGCCTCTGGGTAGAGGTAAAAAAAAAAAGACAAGTAATGGGAGTAAAAATGGGCAAGGGACACGTATAGGGGATGATGAGATTGGGGGGAGGAGTTCCCCTCATTAGGAAAAGTGTTCATTAGTCAGCCATATAAGCCTACCACTGGAGCTGAGTAGCAGCGACTGGATCCGTTTAGGGTTGAGGACACAGGGGACTGAGCAAGCAGCTGAGAGAGCAGGCAGGCAGCCAGGACAGCACAGGCCTGACATGCCCACTTAGCCTGACACCATCCAGCAGCAACTCACTGCTGCTTGCTCCAGCCTGTCATTCCAGGGGCTATTGGCAATTTCTAGGAAAGGTTATTGTCAAAGTGTAATTGGTTACAGTTTACAAATCACCAGTTAGCACCGGCCACTGGTTTGTTGAATGTCTGACTGCAATGCCAGGCATGCTGGGATTTTAAAGGCTAGATTCACATGTTTTCGGGTCTGTCTTACATACCCTAAAATATTTGTCCACAATTTGTCACAAACAGATCCCTTCCTTATGTGACTCCAATTAGGGACAATCCACACTTCTCCTTATGTACAGAAATGCATTCTTAAAGGTATCCTCTATAGTTTTTGACCACTAGTAGTGCTATAGAGCAATGTTTTTACAAGGGGGTCCCCATTTTGTTTGCATCATGCACATGCACAAGGATTGAAACGCACGTCAGTTTTACGTTATTCCAGTTGGTGGTGGTAACGTAGCAGTGCTCAAAGGCCAGGAAGAAGATGATCGCGAGCTAGCAAAATATGTAATAAAAATAATCGGCTTTGAAAAACACTGAATGTAAATGTAACTTTTTTTGTGCACAGGGGCCCTTTAAGTAAAGCGAAGGTAATATGAGACTTGAGCAACCGGAGAGAGATAAGTCAGTGGGTATCTTCCAAAGTTATAGTCTTTTTAGTACAACATTCTCTCTTTATTATACTGTCCCTCTACTGCAATTCAGCAAGAAATAACTGACAGAAGCAACAAACAGGGAATTTCATGTAGTTTTTGAAAATATTCACTTTATTTGTGACGTCTCATACTGGCTTCAATCAAACCTAAGAATACATTTTTGCACAATATAAGAGTACAGTGCGTTTTGAGAGAGTCCCAATTACTAGAGTTGCATTAGAAAGGGATCTCTTCAGGGCCGGTATGGACAGAAAGAATAACCAAAAACTGCTCCAATATACAAACAGTATGGGCATGTGACTGTTGTTTTATGACTTTAAACAATATGAAGCTATCCTTTAGTATCATATTTGTTGAGAGTTTTTTTTGCTGAAACATATGTATGTACAATACTTAAAGTTACTTTACTTACTTACTATTACTTTACATATTTAACCCCCCATAAATATGTAAATGTTGTATCAGTGCTGTATAGTCTCACCAAAAAGAAACTTGTAATAATCATATTAGTGTTGTCATAGTGCTGTCTGCTTATATTTAATTTGCTTCTCCCCGCCCCTGAACAACACATGTCATTACTAATCAATTCTTACAACCTCCTCAGGCATGCCAAGAAATACAGCCAAGCCCTGTCAGGCTTTTCCCGCATCTGCCTTTTTAAACCCAGCAGAGCCACGTAGCCCAGCTCTGCCCTGCTGTGCCCACTTCCTCAGTGACCCAGACACCTGGTTAGTGCCTTTTCTGCCCTGTGTTGCCATTCACAGCCAAGAACCTCTTGCTGGCTATGATCCAGGGTGTGTGGTGAGTAGAAGGAGGGAGGACAGGGGCAGATAGGGTTCAAACCAAAATACAAAAATAAATAAATAAAAATAATAAAGAGGCAGAGGAGGGGAAATGAAGAGGGCAAAGGGTATAGATTTCAAGGAGTAGCAAATGACCAGAATAAATAAGAGAAGATGAGAGCACAGGAAAAAAGGAAAATCTCTGAATGGAGAAATGACCTTTGGAGGGAATTGGATTTCTGTGAACAGAAGCTGTGATCAGCTGGTTAGTCCTTTGGATGGTTGAGAGGAGGCAGTGCACAGTTCAGTGGTGTACAGACTGTGCTGTGTGTGTCTTTGTGTGTGTGTACATGTGTCTTTACTAAATCGGTGCAGTGCAAAATGAAATTAAACTACAGCTGAGACTGTGTTTCGGTGTGTGTGTGCAGAGTGCAGAAAGGGGGACTGCATGAATCAAACAAAAGCTTAGCAGGTTTCCACTTTATGCATGAATGTTGGTGTGTACAGTGTAGGTATGTGTATGTCTGTGAACAACTATTTGTTTATTTGAATCATGGTAAATGAAAGGTGTAAAAAACTAAAATGAACTTAATTTAGAAGAATTGTTTTAGGTTGTTTTTGTGCAACATTAAGGCTATCCTCTGCTATAGTAATGCAAAGGCATAGAGGCTTGCATGTTGGATAAAACTAAAGTTTTGTTGAACTGCTTCACTGTAAGCAGCCATTTTAGCAAAAAGGTAATAGGAAGAAACACCTGCAGTTTTAAAAGTTGAGCCAGTTTTATTCCTGTAATGCTTCAGGATCTATGACAATTTGGAGAAAGCAGGTTGGTTTCAGTATGGTAGTCTTCATGGAGAAGCACGCTAACAATGGTGGAAACTTACTGATATTTTTTTTTCTCAATTCCTTAACTTAAATTCTGAATAAATGTATTATTCATGCATGTATGTCTGCATGTGTGTGTGTGTGTGTGTGTGTGTGTGTGTGTGTGTGTGTGTGTCTGAACCTCTGGCCCCTCTTGTGGTCTTTCCTTAGGCCTCACCTAGAGTATTTGTACAGAGATGTGGAGGCCGTTAGCTGTGTTGGCCTGATTTTGTGCACATGTGGGTGTGAGGTCAGGTGCAGTCGTGTGTGTGTGTGTGTGTGTGTGTGTGTGTGTGTGTGTGTGTGTGTGTGTGTGTGTTTGGGATCTTATGTGAAATGTGAGTGCCATCATACCTCCAGCTTTTTCCTCTTTCTAGAAGATACAGAGAGACATAGAGATGGGAGATCAAGGGTAACAAAATTATGGCTATTCCATTTTTTACGTCATAAATAGTTAGTCATTGTGACATCCTGAAGTAGTCAAGTGGGAACTGTCACACTGTTCACAGTGTGCTTACACTGTCTGTGGGTAGCACAGTCAAACTATTAGCCAGAGATTAATTAATTTTCACTTTGGAAATTTATTAATTTTTATTATATAAATCAGTGTCACCCGTCCCTCTCCACTAAAAGATATGTTTCTCTTCTTGTTCCTACAGTCAGATGTTTGGGCTTCACTGTGCAGAATGATATATGTGCAGAGTTTGACACTAGAAGGATGTTTTCACATTAATCTGCTGAAAGTGTAAAAGTTTCTCATCGGGGCCTAAGATCATGATTTGTGACATCACAAAGAGTTTGGAAGTCAGTCCTGGTCCAGAACACAACTTACGCAACTGTGATGTAGAAACCCGAAGCGAATGGACTTTATAGTGAAGTAGTCCTGTGTCCAGCAGGAAAACCTTAGAAATTAACAAAATGTGCATATTCATAGATTGTGGATTTTTTAATGAGGTAGAAAGAGTACATGCCTTTTTAAGGAGTTTAGGGTGTAAACTATACTTTCTTGTGGAAAAAAACATATCAGACACACATTATTGTTCCAAACAGATGGTTTTTATATGTCGTAATACTGGTCTGCAGGAGATCTTTAAGCTTTTTGGATTTTCATGAAAGACGATTCTTCTTCTGTTTATGAGCCGTGTTTCCTAGAGCATAGTCATGTTCTTCCTACACACTGTTTAGCTTCCCCTCACCCAGTCATGATTTAACAAGGTAAAGTGGTCTCATGCTTTAAGTAGCCAAAAACACTGACAGAAACAGAAATTCTGTTGAGAGTGATTAGAATTTCATTTGACCAATTCTAAACTTTGAATGCTCAGCATGCATCAATGTGACCCAGCAAAAGTTGAAAAAGAGAAACTGGGTAAGACAAAAAAGAATCATGAATAGAAGATCTTCAGAAACATGTAAAAAGTAAATTGGAAAAGTGTGGATAGCCAGAAGGTAATAGAATGACATTCTTTTAAGTCACAAAACATCTTCCACCTGGATGTACTTAACGTTCAAACAAAAGCATAAACCACAGCCACAGAAAAACATAAATTGTGATGTTTAATAAATACTGACACACACACACACACACACACACACACACACACACATACACACACACACATAAACTCATACTCTCATTGTAGTGCAAC